GTTTTTGAGTAAACTAGAATATCATCCAAATACACCAACATTATTTGAAATAGAAAGTCACTCATAGCACTCTGCATTACTCGCTGGAATGTAGCAGGTGCATTAGTTAGACCAAACGGCATACGGGTCCACTCGTACAGTCCCAGTGGAGAAATAAATGCAGTTTTATGTTGATCGTTGGGGTGCATGGCCACTTGGTGGTAGCCGCTAGCCAAATCCAAGGTAGAAAAAAATCTTGCTCCCCCCAACGCATCAAGACATTCATCAATACGAGGCAAGGGGAATGCATCCCTTCTTGTGATATTGTTCAATTTCCGGTAATCACAACACAGTCTTATCTCCCCTGACTTCTTTTTTACCACTACTATCGGTGCCGCATACGGGCTCGTGCTGGTTGTAATAATTCCCTTTTTTAGTAGATCGTTCAGGTGTGCTTTCACCGCAGAGTAGTGACTCGGTGGTAATCTTCGATAAGGTTGCGCCACCGGCTTGTCTTGTAGTAAGGGTATCTGGTGTTTTATTACTTCCGTGTACCCCAAATCACCCTCATACGAGGCAAATATATCACTGTATTTATTCAGCAATTCATTTAGTTTTGGGTCCTCAGTTTCTGGGAATGTATATGATCGGCCATCCTGTTTCTTCACCTCGGCCGTCACATTGACCGACCTAATTGTTACTTCATTACTGCTGGTATTGCTCAGTTCGATACACTGTGCCGACCTTAGTACCTCGACGTTCTGTGGTACTCCTACCAGAGTATTAGGTGGTATAAAAATTTCTTCATCCAAAACATTTGCCACTAATCCTTGAACTAGTCCATTTTCCGCTGATGTGTATGTCCGCAGTAACACGACGCCTGCCCTCAGTGCGGCGCCACATGGTTCTATCATCACATCACCATTCACGCTTCTATCACCAATTTGTAATGTGATTGCCTTGACCGTGTTTGCCGGGACTGCTGTCCTTCCTCTGGTCTTGGCAAACCTGGCCAACTTGGATCCCCGACCTGGTGTGGTCGATCCGACAATATTTGTAAGAAATTCTGGCAACTGGCCAAGAATATTCATGCCCAACAGGCAAGGTATATTTGACACATTTGTCTCTAGGTTGTGTTTCGTAACGAACACCCCAACCTGCTTCAACCTATGTCCTGCCACCACGACATCCGCCAGAAAATAACCACAGTATGGAATGGTTAGTCCATTAGCTGCCGTCAGGCGCATGCATGTGTCAGACCTCAACCTATGGTCTTTTCCTTTCATCCATTTGGTGTAAAAATTTTCCGTGATTGTCGTCACCTGGGAGCCTGTATCCACAATTGCCTTCACCGCGATGTCCCCAATCTTAATCACCATTTCGGGACAGACTCCCATCATTTTGCTTCTTGGGCCATACCCTCGCCCCTCTGTAGCCTGGCCCTGCCTTACAGAGGACGACCGTTTCCCTGGCAGTACCGTGCCATATGTCCGGGTTGTGAACAAGACAAACAAATTGGTCGACCGTCGGCCGTCCATTGGAGTGATGGCTTGGCCGGACGCGGCCGTCCAACCCGTCCCTGTTTTGTCCCGTTCTTTTCCCGATTCTCAGCTGTTGACCTGCTTTCTAACCTCTCCAAACGTTGGTCAACCTTATCTAGGTGGGCCAACAGTTGAGCCATCATGGTCTCCATCGTGTCGGCCCCTGTGGGTGGGGATTGTCTCTGTTCAGGTACAGAAACTTTGTCCACCGAACAGTTCGATTGGTCCTCATCCTCGGACCTGCGGATCGCTGAGTTCCTGACCTGGAGGAAGGTCAACTGCGGTTCTTTGTGGACCTCCTCTTTCAACTCTCTTCTTAGGATCGGGGTTGCCAGCCCCTCAATGAAATGGTCCCTCAGTAGGCGTACATCAATGTCCGGTGTTTTGACCTTTACCGAATCAAAGGCACTGTTCATCCGGTGTGAGTACTCCATCACACTCTCCGCCAACCTCTGCCTTAAGCCTACGAACCCTGCTAGCAGTTGCGATCCCGACCGTCTCTCCCCAAAGGTCTCCATAATCAGATCCAGCACCTTATCTGGATCTGATTGGATGGTTTTATCGTGGCATTTGACCTCTGCCCTAACCGTCTCTCCTATGCTGCCCATCAGCAGTCTTAATCTTTCCTCTGGTGACATGCCTCTCGAGGCCCAGGCCGCTTTGACCTCCTCACTGAACCTGTTGGTTAAAGTGGGATCACCGTCCCCGTAAAATTTGTTAATGTGGGACTCTCTGGGTAGGACCACTATATGGGTCTGCTTCTCGTCCAGAGTAGACATTTTATTCCGTAAGTAAAACAAAAGAGTTCTTTCTTACCGTGTGTATATGAAAAAATTTTCCTCGATTTTTCACAGTTCCTGAATGTCCGAATTCACATACACACAAAACACAGTTATGCACAAGGTTGACTATGGGTGCCTAAAACGGCAAGTCTAGTTGGATTCATCCTGCTCGCAGCGCCAAATGTGACCTAGGCTAGTTGCATCTTTCCTGTTCGCAACGCCCAATGTGACCTTCCCCGAGTCTATCCTGCCCGACAACGCCAATTGTAACGAGTTGAACCACTCATGCTACACAACATCGACTACAGTAGAAAGACTCGAAGATGCAGGTTCGCTATTGATCCTTTTATTACATGAATCAAGAAATGCTTCAATATAACACAATGAATCAACAGAGATGTTTCACAATAATAGTCTGAATCAACTGACCCCCTAACAGTCCTCACTAGGCTTCATATAACTGAATCCACATGTCTATTGTCCTTCTTAACACAATATAACCAACTTGAGTATGTCACACAGACTGACTGATCTAAAGCAAGCGACGACGACGGAAGAGAGCGAGTTCAGTCGTCCCCTCCTATTGATCCCTTGTATCCGTACTCGTCTCCGTACTTGTATTCCTCCGTAATCGATACTTGTACTCGATGTCTCCGACCACTAGTTGCGTAGTTCTAACATACAGTCCGTGGAATAACATCTGCATCCCATCAATCAAAGTTGACAGGCCGTCTGAATCTCCTTGTACCGTTTCCCAAAATAGCACGCGTTGGCTTTGAGATTGTTATCAGCCCGACCCAATAAGCCACCTGTTGTGTTGCGTCAGACTGCAATACTGCGTCTCGGCTTCTCGTTCGTTATCAGATTTGTAACTAGTAGTTAGGCCCACCCTAGCTACATATATATATATATATATATATATGGAGTTATATATGTAGTACACACACACACACACACACACACACACACACACATATATATATATATATATATATATATGTGTGTGTGTGTGTGTTTGTACTACATATATAACTCCATATATATATATATATATATATATATATATATATATATATATAGCCTATACATAGATTATATTATCTAGCCTATACATAGCATATATATACACACACACACACACACACACACATATATATATATATATATATATATATATATATATATATATATATATATATATAAATATATATATATATATATATATATATATATATATATAAATATATATATATATATATATATATATATATATATATATATATATAAAACCGAGCCAAACTGTTGAGCTATAAAACACCTAAAAATAGCAACTTGTTCTAACGCCCTTGCACCTAGTCTACGCAGCCGAAATTCCATTCCCCCACCCCCCAGCGGCATCAAATGGAAGAATCGAATAAGTAAAATACAAGCGGGGATAAAAGACCCAGGGGGACAAAGATAGAAGGGACAAAATGTCGTGTCAGTGTCTTTTCGAGCTGGGGCGGATTCGTTTTACAGATAAGTTCTCATTGATGGAGCGTGCCGTGCCAGACCAGTGGACGAAACAAAGTCTGTGAGGGCTGACAGTGAAGATCCATCTAGGAATTAGATTCCCACGTCTTGGGGGACTCTAGTGTTTTAGTTTAGAAGTTGATAAAGTCGCTAGGAATTGATGATATCGTTTTTTTTTAAAGATGGTTTAAGCTTCTTAGGATTAGGGTTTCAATTTATTTACTGTATGGCAGTAGAGGAATTAAATGGTACGTAGACAAATATTTATAGAGATGTTGCATAGAAAGCAATAGTAAAAATATCTAAGACGGTCAATCATAAAACCATATAAAATACTACTTGTGTAGACATGCGTACACAACCCACACCCCATATATATATATATATATATGTATATATATATATATATATATATATATATATATATATATATATATATATATATATATATATATAAAAGTATATAGGCCTATATGTATGTATATATATATATATATATATATATATATATATATATATATATATATATATATATATATATATATATATATATCTGTGTATAAGGATAGGAAGTGAGTTAAAAGTATAGTTTCGTGTTATATAGTATGTGTAGTCCTACAGTTTACAAAAGGAATAACAAATAATAAAACAATAACATGATAATTAATATCTAGATGCTATTAATTAGTTTAAAAATGGTAATTGTATTCATCTTCAGCCTTATACAGTTATATGAATACATTAATTTGAAAATCACTCTATTACCTTTAATGCTCTTCGTAAAGCTTACTAGTACAAAAAATTTCTATTAGATTTCCTAAACACGTTTTCAGAAGTTAAAAAAAAACCCTCTTGAATTTAAAAAAAAGTAATAGATTCAATTTTTCATGAAATTACTTTTATAATTAGGGTCAGGCTTCATAGAAAAAAAAACCCAACCCTTTTGTGAATTGAGTAATTGTTTGTTTGATTTTACGGCCCGTGTCTAAAAATAGCCCAACCCCGCTTGTAGTTGACGTTGTTGCCTCATTGAGATCAAGTACAGAGTACCACAGGGAAAGACAACTCCTGCTGCTCAATCATTTTCGTACGAGCTACCTTGCTTAGCTCCCCTCTTCGCCGGCTTCACCGGTTCTCTCCCCTCGTCTTCCCGAAACGTTAATCCATATTCCGTGCCGTGCGAGGCACGCTGGCATCAGACAGAAGGCCACGGACTAGAATTGGAATAAGAGACGATTCAACAAGTCGCTGAATTATCGTTCATGACTACCAAACGTAAGTATTCATGCATGTTTTACGTTTGTTTACATAAACGTATTGTAATCAACTTATTAAAATAAAATTAATTTTTTTTTCTATTTAAAATCTCATAATCGTTGAGTTCGATAAAAGGGTTATCGATTAGTGATCTTACCGCGGCTTTACAAAAGCTGTTCCGATTTCTTTGATTTGGGCAGCCAATGTGACCAGAGTATGTTTCCATGTACTGCTAATGCATGTTTGTATTTATCCACTACGGCGTGCGGTGTTTGAATCCATTGTGGATATTTTGGATACAACACTGTTGCCAGTTGAGGCGTAGCATAACATATTTGGTCACATGCATTTTTTTTCCAAAAAATAATAAATTATTGTCAATTTAATTTCTTTTGTTGTGAAATTTTAAAGTAAGAGTTTCAAAACATACATAGAACCTATTTTGTAAACTTGTATCTTTTTATTTTTTTGTTTTTTTGCTAAATCTTGAGAAGATTAAATTGAAACACATAATACTTTGTTGTATTAGCTTTTAAAAACATCATTTTAATATAAATACGTATGTAATGAAAATTTTGTTCATGAAATTATTGAACCTTGCTATGTCTGTTTCTATTAAGGAAATTGCAATGTAACTAAGAAATAAAATGTAAATAATGACATTTTTAGTTATTAGCTGATATTCTAAACCGAAATACGGTGGAAAAAAAGTAACAGTCGACATCTGTAATGAAAAAAATTAAGTTAGCAAATTTAAATTTTGCTTCAAGACACAATGCTAATAAAAAAAACTGATTTTATCAATAATTTGCCTAGCAGTTTGCTAGTTTATTTTTTATTTTTTTATTTTTTATTTTTTGTGATACTTGGTCATATGAGGATCCAATTTTACTGTAATTAAATGCAACGATGTTTTCATCTTCTGAGAATAGAAAACATTGTTTTTTTTCGGTCTCCGAGTAACAGAAACTGGAGAAGCTTTTTAATTTGGCAGAGATTATATTTATTTTCTTGATGTTATGCGTGTTTCGGTATCGAATTACTGGATGCAATGTGGGGGTGTTGCGGTAGGTGTTACCCGTCAGTGGTGAATGATGCTGTGGTTAACTAAACGATGGGTTGTGTGTAAACAGTTCAAGTTTTGGGTTTAGGTATAAGTGGAAACACGACACGGGTTAAATAGTTTTATAAACGTGGACAGATGTGATTTGTGTGCAATCATATTGTTTGTGTTTAGTTTCATAAATTAATTATCGGTCAGCACTCATCTGACTTGTTTGTCATCTGAAATATCAGTTATCTTAATATCATCAGTCATCTCAATTGTCAGTCTGTCACTGATGAGTAATTTTAGTTTAATCAGTCATGTCTGCCATCTACACATTAACTCACATTTCATAATTTTTTATCATTCATCGATTTTGTAGAACGTTTCAGTCAGAGTTATGTCAGTCTCATTCATTTGAATCAACTTACACACCTCAGTCAGCTGTCACCTCAGTTACATATTTATCTAAGTTGTCATATAGTTATCTCAGCAATGGCTGTCCACAAACTGATTACTTTACACTTAAACATACCATAGCGACTCAAAACCAGTGCCGGACTTTTGCCTGGGCTAACTAGGCGGCTGCATAAGGGCCTCCAGTGATTTTAAGAATAATTAACTTATGTGTTATGCAGCGTGAAAAAGTAATAGTTATGATTTTAATATATAGGTTGGGAAAATAGCTGGAAAAGAGTAATAGTTGGGATTTTAAAAATAGACGTGATATCGTAAATAGCTGGGATTACCAACAAATCTTGCAGCAAATAAAGAGAGTGAACCCTCTTCGAGTATTCAGTAATTCAACTAAAGTTATTATTACATAACTGAAAAGGTAAACAGAAAATATTATATTTGCGTCTTAATTAGACCCTCTTTGCCCCCCCCCCTCCATGAAAACAAAAATACAAAAAAAACGCTACTAGAAATCTTTGGCAGAGGCCCTATGCTCCGCAAAGAACGAAAAGGAAAATGATGATGATACTCCCCATCGTTGAAACCAAATTACTCACAAATAAGAATAATTGGCCTCTAAGCCGTCTATTCTTCTCGCACATTTTGCGATCTCCATTATCCTAACAATGTAAAGATACCTAACTCCAAAGTTACTTTCCTAATTATCTTTGTATTGTAAGTCTCCTTCAATGTAATTAGCTTTCCTTCATTATTTTAACATTAAGACACATTTATACCGTTTCTCCTTTCCTCATTAAGCTACCACTGTCGATTATACAAATATGAAATGTGTTTCGTTTCTTTCATCGGTTACATTTTTTTTAAAGAACCGACGCTAATTTCTAACACGAACTTTACTTCAGTCAGATTAGCTTTACCCATCCTTAAAATTAAATGAAGCAGCAGATAATTATCGCCGTTCATTAGCGCTAATGAACTTACGCAGATCCGCGAAAAAACCAGTCGTATGTGTTGTGAAAGGGGAGAGGGGAGGGGTTGAGTTCGAAGTTCTGTTGTGTAAAAGTACAACGTTAGAGTTCAACTAAACTCTCACACTCAAGCTGATGCACACCAACACACACACACACACAATTACACAAACACATGCATACGACAAACACATAAATGCACCTGTCATATACAAACATACACACTCGTGCCCCAACACAGAGAACACAAATACACCTCTCATACAACTGCTGATATACACACACATACACTCATAAATCCATACAAAAACAAACATACACAGAGAACAAATGCATATTTTATACAGCTGCACATACACACACAAACATACACAAGCACTCACATCAAACCTTTAAGTTTAAACGTTAGTCTTCTCCTTCTTCATTCTTAATTATTAGTGTTGTAAGGGATCGAGATTTATCTGTCAGAGGGTTTGAACTCGAGACTTTTTTCGAATTTATCAACCATGAGCTTTTTGCCGACTCGGCCACGCCTCCAACACAATTAAGGATACGTGTCAACTGGTTATACGCCATTGAGGCCATTGACTCCAATTTCAGCCTGCTTTTCTTTTTGGATTTGCTTCCATAGCCTTTGTTCAACCAAGAACAAGCAACAAGGAAACTTTAGTGTTTAAGGCTGCCAGACTTCCTTCCAATCATCATTACTATAACGTCAGGTTACAAAGAAGGCTGGGGATAGTGCTGTCCACATTACCCCAACACCATCACAACCAGGCACACCACTATGCTATACGTGTAACCAGCCAGCTTCACAACCCTCTGGTAGAAACGCTTCTTTCATTACAAAACAAAAATAAAATAATCAAGACAATGCAATTAGCAACACCCCCAACAACAGCCTCCTTCCGCTGCAACACCACCCCCAAGAGCTTCCTTCCCATGCAACACACTCCCCCCCCCCACCACAGCCTTCTTCCCTAGCAACCCCCCTACAAGAACAACCTTCCTTAGCAATACAACCCCCACCCTCCCACACATGAGCTTCCTTTCGCTGCAACACCCCCCCCCCCGCAGCCTTCTTCCCCAGCAGCTTCCATCCCCCCCTCACAACAGCGTTCTTCCCCAGCTACTCCCCCTCCCACAAGAACAACCTTCCCTAGCAACTAACCCTCCCTCTTGTAACACAATTACCACCACCCCCAAGCAACACAACATCTACATACAAGCATGGCTCACCGTATATTGTATCTTCCATAGCCTTACTTCACCATTACAGCCCCCCCCCACCCCCCCCCCCCCCTTTCTGACGAGTATGGTTCAGCCCATATTGTATCCTCAATGTTGATCTCTTTCCCCAGCAACAACTTCCACACAAGAACCCCCACCCCCCTCTTTTCCCAGCAACACCCCCCTCCCCAGCAACCCCCCCCCCTCCTACGTGCATTCCTCACCCAGTATTGTATGCCCATTTGATTCCATCAAAACCACATCCAACCGACGCCATCCGTGGACCTGCACTCGCCCGAGGGCTGAACGCCCATGATTGCTATTGATCAACACTGACTCTAATTTTTTAATTACATTTTGATTAAATTTGTAATTTAATTAAACCACCTTAATGCTTTTTAAAGATTTTTTAATACAACAGCGATAATCTTCAATAATTCAAATTTAAATTAAATAAAAACTAAAAATAAATAAATAAAAGACATGTGATAATAATGGGTTTTAATTTTGATTAGATTTAATAACTGCAAGCTGTATTGCATTTAACGCCATGAACGATTAATATAGTATTTTAATAACTTAATTTTAATGCGCCAATAAACTGTAAATAAAACAAATAAAAATCTATTCACAAGGCATGTCCTTGTTGCAATGTGAAGTTGGAGTTAAATTAAAGCAAACAACAACAAAAACTCTAAATTAAAAGACATGTTATAATAATTGGTTTTAGTTTTGATTAGATTTAATAAATGCGGTATTGCATAAAACGCCAAGAACGATTATCTAGAGATAAATATTTTCGCAAAAAAACCCAGTGGTCTAACTTGATTTATGAACATTGGAGACAAATGCCGCATATTTTAGCGTATAACGTTCCCTATTCACTCGGCTACGTAATGGCCTGTCGTCTTGGAGGGTCATTCGATCCCAGAATTCAAAGCTCAAGACCTGCCACTGGAAAGATAGACGATATTTTCATTTCCGGTGGTACATGCGCGCAGAGGCCTAATGTAAACAACGTTCTGAGCATGACATGTCGCAACAAATGGCCCGCTTTTAATCAAGGGGAAGAGGGTAATGTGATCAATGCTACAGGTCAAAGGGCGAATGTGACAATTTTTTCCACAGGTCAAGGAGTTGTTTTGATCGATGTTTTTTTTTAAAATTGGAGTAGTGATTGTGATATTGATCCTCAGGCCAAGCGATCTGGTGAGCGGGAAGCATGTTTCGAAAAATAATATCAGTGGAAAAAGTCACATATCGTTTGCTAGGGAAGTAAGAAAATAAATGCTAGGAAAACGTGTCAAAAAGATTGTTAAGGAAAAGTCACAAAAATGGCTACCAAAAATGTTGTCACG